GAAGGGACAGGAGACAAGCACTGGGAGTAACTTTACTGCAAGATGATATTAAACACAAAGCACCAAAGAGCCCAGACGGGACACATGTGGCCTGTGGAGACGTGGCAAAGGCTAAGCTGGTGTCTTTAGCCCATAAATCCCACCTGAAAAATAGAACATAAGCGTCTTACTCCCTGCCTCCACATTAAAGAGGAGGTCTTTGAATCCCCCACACCCTCAGTTGTCACATTTCACCTTTTACAATTTGTAACCAGGAGCAATTGGTTCTTTTGTCAAGCATAAATAGTACTGTATTGAATGTAATTTTCAACCTCCCCTTTACACACACATGCTTGGATACTCCTGTGGAGTATGCACTCACCTTCCCAGCTTGACAACCACGGAACTACATGTAGAAAGAGCCAGTCCTGGAGCCAGCAGATGGCATGGTGGTTTAGGTGCTGAATTCCCATATGGCCAACCACAGTTTGAGTCCTGGACCTGGTGGCTTGCTTTTACACGTTCCCTTTCTGCTCTGGTGAGAGCACATGAGTTATAGCAAATTTAAAAACAAGGGAACCAGCAGTTAGCGTAATGGCTATGTCACTGGACTCTTATGTAATCGACCGCGGTTCACGTCCCAGACCTGGTGGCTTAAAACTCACGCTGGGTGCGTGTGCATGCATGCCCAAGATCCCAAGAGGAGAATGGAGGAGAAAGGATTGCGGCGTGACCATCCCCCCGGGGGGTGATTTCTCACTTTCTGTCTCTATGTCTCTCTCTGTCTGTCTGGTGAGCGCACGCGCCCTATAGCGAAAACCTCTCAAAAAAAAAATAAATAAATAAAACAATAGTAATAATCAAGAACAGCAGTTAGCGTAAAGGCTATGTTGCTGGACTTCCATGTAGTTGACTACAGTTCAAGTCTCAGACCAGGTGGCTTAAACTCACGCTGGGCACATGTGTGGTGTGCCCAAGATCCTGAGAGGAGAATGGAGGAGAAATAAATAATTCTATTTATCTTTTTGAAAAAGAATTATTTAATTTTTATTTATGTATTTATTTATTTTTATTTGACAGAGTGAGAGAGAGAAAGAGGGAAAGTGAGAGAGCAAGCCGCCAGGTCCAGGACATGTGGGAATCCAGCGCCCTTAACCACTACGCCACCTGCGAGCCCCAGTAAATAATTCTAAAAAAAAAAAGAGCCAGCTCTGAAGCTGAGATCACACACCTCACTACCAGCAGCCGTGGTGTGATAGTGCGCAATGTCCCATGACACTAAAGCCATATGGGGAGGTACTAGGCTTGTGTCCGGGGTCTCCCATACACACTGGGTGTGCACACGTGTGCCCCTGATCCTGGCTGGATGAAGCTGGGGGTGGACTGAGGCGTGAGACCCCCTGTTGGGGGTCTTTCTCTCTCTCAGGGAAGAAATTTTTAAAAATTAAAAGCAGAACAAAAACGTCCCTATACACTGCTTCAGACTTTGGGAAAGCGATCCAATCACTGTGGCCAGTGGCCGCGTGTGTACAATGCGGCTCAGAAGAACCCCTCAACAGTGTTACGGGGAAAGGCCTTTCTCAGAGCGCACCGTCTAAGCCAAGAACCAGACTTAGCACTGCAGGTTAGATTTTCTCCACAGGCTTTATCTTCTCAAGGAAAACTGTGGTCCCCGGGATCTAGGGCCTCGGAACTGGGGGAGAAGTGGAGCCAGGGCTGTCATTACACATGTTTCCTCATTTGTCATTTCTTTTCGTTTTCCTGGTTAAAAAGAAGACAGTGTGGGGTCAGTAGGTGGTATAATGGTTAAGGTGCTGAACTCCCACATGGATAACTATGGTTCGAGTCCCAGACCTGGCATCTTGAAAATCATGCTGGGCACATGTGCATGTATGCCCAAGGTCCCCAGAGGAGACTGGAGAAGGGATTGTGGTGTGAGTGACCATTCTCCCTGAGGGGTGCTTTGTCTCTCTCTCTCTCTCATCTGTCTCTCTCTGGAGCACCCACACATCACAGAGAAAAGGGGAAAAAAATAACTAATCTTGCGCTGTATGGCTCAGTGGTACCGTGGCAACTCAGTAATCGTGAGGTTCACCCGGGGCAGAGTCTGGGTTCACATCCAGAGACTCCACGGACATGTGGGTCATGCCCCTGTCCATGATCAGGGCTGGCTGAGGCTAGGGTGGGCTGTGGGGTGCAAACCCTGATGGAGTGCTGTCTTTCTCGTTATCTCTCTTCCTCATAGACGAAAGGAAGAAAAACTTTTTAGAAATTAAAAAAGAAATAGAGTAACTCACCTAGCACGGACTCAGCGTTTGCTTCCACATACCTGGTCACGTCTGAGTCTCCTGACAGACACACACCCCCTTCTCTTCATGGATAATAGGCGAGTGGCTTGCCTGTGGTCAAACACTGCTCAGTGGCCTCCATTCTCCTGGGATTTGGGGCATGCATGCACATGTGACTGGTGTGATCTTCAAGCCTCCAAGTCTGGGACTTGAACCACAGTCAGCCACGTGGATGCCCAGTGCCTTAACCACCACACCACCTGGCCCCAACACGTGAGTCGTTTGACATCAGATATCTCCTGGTGCTCTTTTCTCTGTCCCTTCCTGCCGGCCCCTCCAGGCATACACACCTCCCACTCCAGGACAGCCTTGAACTCGGTCAGGCCACCTTTCCCTCCTGGCGTCGTTCTGTCCCTCTCCTCCCTGCATCACAGGTACCTTTTCTCTGAGTTTCTCAGTCACAGCCCCTGGCCGCATCCTCCCCCAGTCCCACGTAAGCCCGCCATTTCTAGCACTTTCAACTCTGAAAAATGTACATGTCGGCAAGCCATTTACACTTGCCCGCCTTTGATCCCCTCCTCCCCACGGAGGCGAACACGTCTGTGAGCAACCGAGAGTCCGCATAATCAGGTTTGGGCTCTCACTACGGCTGCTGAGTGATTGACGCAGCCTAGTCTACACAGAGCGTTTGTAGAGTGGAGAACGGGGAAAGTACTCTTAGTAACTGCGCTACGCTAACACGCCCCTCTCAGGCTATTTTAATAATGATGATGTTTTGAGAATCTGACTCTCCACTCGCTTCTATAATTACCAGGCTATTTTTGCACTTGGAAATGTCTTTCACGCTAATGGTTCCTTTTCCAGACACTACTGCCAGTTCATGAGCACAGGGCACCTCTGATCGCTGGCCTCGGCCTGTGGGAGAGTGACCACAGTGCAGCTTCATTTAGAGGCCTGGTCAGCTCCTTTCACGCAGTCCTGGTGGCCACCGAGTCAAAGAAGGCCTGTATACGGCAGGCATTCGGACTGGCTGGTCTCGGATAACAATAAATGCTTAACCAAGCACAGACCTGGCCGTTGGAGTGTAACTTGCAGTCTACGCGAGTTCAGAACACACCCTCTGTTCACGAAGGCGGCTACTTGGGGTTAGACGGAATAAACAAAATGCATCTCTCTCTTATTTTTCCAGATGTCCAAAGCGTGAATCAGGCATGGCCACTGACCAAAAGCCAAGCTGGGGTAAACAAGGGGTTGCTTTGTCCCTGGATGATGTGAGGTGGCACTGCCAGTCAGATGCCACTCTACCCAGGCCAGGCGCAGCATCCACATGCTTAGTAGGACTCCCTGTGGCTCGGAGTAGCTGTGTGTGTATATGCAGTCACGACACAGACACGTAAGCATTAGAGAGGGAAGCAAGCTCAGCGGTGGTCGTGGGGGACACGCGGGGGGAACAGAGGCCCAAATCACTGGGAGACGGTCACGTACGACACAGATGACGCCTTAGATTTGAAAGGTATAAACAACTATTGTAACTAACAGGAAAAACATACACAACCCAACTGGGAAGTGGAAAAATAATTCAAACAGGTAATGCACAGGAAAATGGAATCATGCTCCACTCCCCTAGGAATCAGGGACACACAACTTTAAAACAACAGTGAGGGGGACCAGCAGTTAGCGTAATGGCTATGTCGCTGGACTCCCACGTAGTCGACTGCAGTTCAAGTCCCGGACCCGGTGGCTTAAAACTCACGCTGAACATGTGTGTGCATGTGCCCAAGATCCCGAGAAGAGAATGGAGGAGAAGGGACTGTGGCATGGCCATTCCCCCTGGGGGGTGATTTCTTGCTTTCTGTCTCTCTGTCTCTGTCTGTCTGGCGACCGCATGCGCCCTATAGCAAAAAACAAGCAAACAAAAAAACTCTCCAGAAAAAAAAGAAAAAAAGAAAAACAACAGCGAGGTACTGTTTGATACCCACGGGATAGGGTACAAGTAAAACGCAACAACAGCAACCATCGGTCAAGGTGCAGGACGGGAACTCCCATGCACATCTGGCAGAGATGTCTATTCATCTAATATAGGTTAGATGTATAAATAGATGATATAGGGGCCAGCAGTGGCATGTGGTTAAGGCGCTGGACTCGCACAGGACAAACCACAGTTTGAGTCCCAGACCTGGTGGCTTGCTTTCTCACTGTCCCTTTCTCTCTGTCTGTCACTGTCTGGTCAAAATCGAATAATTATAAATAAATAAAATTAAAAATAAATAAATCTTTTAAAAAGTAGATCATATTGGGGACCAGCAGTTAGCATAATGGCTATGCCACTGGACTCCCATGTAGTCGACTGCGGGTACAGTCTCGGACCCAGTGGCTTAAACACGCCGGGCGCATGTATGTGCATGCCCAAGACCCCAAGAGCAGAATGGAGGAGAAGGGATTGCGGCATGGCCATCCCCCCTGGGGGGTGATTTCTCACTTTCTATCTCTTTGTCTCTCTCTGTCTTTCTGGCAAGTGCACACGCCCAATAACAAAAACCTCTCCAAAAAAAGAAAAAAAAATAGATCGTATATTAGATAATATAAATATATATTTGGTATACAAATATATTTATATGTAATACAGAGTTATATATAGCTACTATACATAATTATAGTATATTTAATATATCATGTATAATTTTATACCTACATAATACAATCCTATATAACTATATATAAAATAATTATAATTTGATCATATCTAGAAAGTTCTGCAAACGCCTACCTTGCAGTCTTCTAAGTCAGACACTGAGCAGCTTTTCTTGACCCCCTCCTCCTTTAAACCACAGGGTACACACAATGATTTGAGTGACTATTTCTCAACCCCCCAAGGATGGCACATAGTTAGTATCATTCTAGCTTTGTAATAGAATTGTTCATTTATGACACTCAGTGTTTTTGTTATGACATTAGTGTCTGTCTTATTAAATCTAACTGAGAGGGACTGCCAGAGAATTCCCAAACATATCTACAGCTCAATACTAGTAATGAGTGGGGAAGTTTATCTGCAGGAGAATGGATAAATAAGCCACAGTATATTGATAGCATGAATTCTCTGCAACCCTTTACATAAATGAACCATATCTATGTGATATGAAGAAGTTAAATCTTTTTTTTTTAAGAGAGATTTTTGTTATAGGATGTGTGCACTTGCCAGAGAGACAGAGAGACAGAAAGTGAAAAATCACTCCCCAATGGGGATGGCCACACCACAGTCCCTTCACCTCCATCATCCTCATGGTATTTTGGACACACACACACACACAGCATGATTTTCAAGCCGCCTGGTCCAGTACTCGAACCACCGTCGACTACAAGGGAGTCCAGCAATGTAACCATTATGCCATCTGCTGGTCCCGACAAAGATAACTCTTGAAAACAAAATGTTGAGAGCCAGCCAGTGGCATGGTGGTTAAGGCAGCTGCATTTCACATGGGTGACTACGCATTTGGAGTCCTGGACCCAGTGACTTAAGAAACACTCCAAACGTGTGTGCTTGTGTGCCCAAGATCCCAAGAGGAAAATGGAGACGGGATTGTGGCATGGCTACCCACTCTCCCCGCCCACCTCCGCCCAGGAGTGCTTTCTCACTTTCCTTTTCTCTCTCCCTCTCTGTGTCTCTCTCTGGTGAGTACACATACCCTATGGCAAAATTTAAAATAAAAAGGAAGTCTAAAAAAGAAAGAGTTGACTAAACATTTTAGAAAATTGGGGCCTCAGGTGGCATAGTGGCTAAGGCCCTGGACTCCCATATGGCTGATGGAAGTTCAAGTCCTGGATTCAGCGACTTGAAAATCATGCCAGTTGTATCTCTGTGTGTGCCCAATATCCCAGGAGGAGAACAGAGGAGAGAGGATTGAGGCATGACCGTCCCCCCACCTCCAGGGGGTGTGATTTCTCACTTTCTCACTGTCTCTCTCTGTTTCTCTCCAATGAGTATACATACTCTACTCACAAACCTAAAAAAGGGGGGGGGCAGCTGGTAGGGTGGCAGTTGGGGCGCTGGATTCCCACATGGTTGATTGTGGTTCAAGTCCTGGACCCAGTGGCTTGAAACTCAAGTCGGGCATATGTGTGTGCATTCCCAAAATCCCAGGAGGAGAATGGGAGAAAAGGGATTGCAGGTTCTCACTGCCTGTCTCTCTCTGTCTCTCTCCAGAAAGTGCATGCACCCTATAGCAAAAAAACTCTCAAATACATTGTAGGAAATTATGAAAGTATGATTGCATTAATAAATATTTCACAAAATACACTAATACTATATATCAATTTATTATAGAGTGTATTTGCATTAAAAATATAAAATAGAGCCTGAATATGCATCACGTGTATGATAATGGCTGCCTCTGAGTCAGAGGAGAAATAGTTCTGGGACGATGGGACTCTAATAGTCATTGAGTCTGTTTAGAATTTTCTGGGTTTCCTTCCAGGCATTTGGTAGGACTTACTTCCTTATTCTTTGAAGTTAGTTAAACTTGACCGCATGACTTGGCCAATAACCTATGAGTAAAAGTGTTATCTCTGGGTGGAAGATTAAAGACCCATATGCACAGTTCACTGTGCTCTTTGTCCTTGTAGTGACCATCGATGTCTCAGACTTTAGTGTTAGCCAGTTCACCAGCCAGGAACGGTAGCGAGTACAGTGCACAATGGAGTTCCCAAATGTTGCACAATGAACAGGAAGCATGACTGAGAAATAGGTCTTGGTTGTTTTAAACTACTAAAATTGTGGAAGTGCATGTTTGTCATTGTAATATAGCCTTGCTCATTCTAATTGACACAGGACTTCAACTTTATCTGTAATGTTTTATTCCTTCTTTTTATTTATTTATTTATTTATTATTTATTTATTCATGTTTTTGTCATAGGATGCTTGTCAGAGAGAGACAGTGAGAGGGAAAGTGAGAAATTCACCCCCAAGACGGGATGGCCATGCTGCAATCCCTTCTTCTCCATTCTCCTCCTGGGATCTTGGACACTCACGCACACATGCTTGGCATGATTTTCAAACCACAGTTGGTCACATGGGAGTCCAGTATCCTAAACCATGCCACCTTCTGGTACCCCAACTTTTTATTTTTAAGGCCTAAAGAACATATGACTAAGTATTAACATTTGTTCATTTTGAATGAGAGCACATGAATGTTGTATTACCTTCATTATTATTATTTTTTAAATTAGAAAAAGAGTCTTCTGGAATGATTTTCTTTTTTCCTTTTTTAAGGTGTCAGAGGTATGTGTGCTAGCCAAAGAAAGACACGCAACAGGGAGAGGGAGAAAGCACCCTCAATGGGGCATGGTCTTCCCATAACCCCTCCTCTGTCTCTCTATCCTTTTGGAATTGTGGTCACACATACACAGATGCACAGCTTTTTTTTTTTTTTTTTTTTTCAGCCATCAGAGCCAGGATTTGAACTGTGGTCGAACATGTAGGATCCAGCTTCCCTTAACCATTAGGATATGGGGCTGGCCCTAGAATGATTTTTCACAATAGATATTTGATAAATAGCAGGTAGGGATAATGTAGAAGGCATGTATATTTTTAAAAACCATCCAAGATTATTAATTTGATAGGTTTCCCTACCTTCTCCTTGACCTAAAAAGCAATTCCTTCATTTTGTAGAAGGTGGAACTGAGGTCTAGAAATACTATACTATCTTGCTCTCCATCAGAGACCAAACTACGCTATAGCCACTAGGCCTTGCTACTAATCTTGACTCTTATCCAGCCTAGCTACAGGAAAGAGCTCTGTCAAGTTTTTTCTGTATTTACTGTAAAGTTATTGTCCATTATATTGCACAATAGCTCCTAAAATAAGATCCTATGGGAGAAAAAAAATGTTAAGGAATTTAGTTCCAGGAGATTGGCAAGTGGCATGGTGGCTAAGGTGCTGGATTCTCACATGACTGGCAGCAGTTCAAGTCCTAGATGGAGCAGCTTGAAAATCGTGACATATAAATGAATTAGTTAAATAATTAATCAATTTTAAAAAAAGAATTTAGTTCCTGGAAGATCTTTTTCTATTGTGGGTAACGGTATGCATCCACCTTTCTTTATAACTCCTTTTATTTTAAATTCTTTTTATTATTACACCCATGACTGAGAGAGTCCATCAGAAGCAGAGATAGCACCTCAACAGGGTCTCGACACCGCACTCCGCCCGCAGGTGGGCACACGGCAGCTGGGATACGGAGGGAGGCCCCAGACCTGCACCTGGAGCCCTCCCACGGGGTCTGCTTTCCAGAGCATCACATTGTATGGCTGCATCGCCGTCCGG